CAGGCTCTCTGCTCAGCAGGAAGCCTGCCTCCCCCTCCTCTCTGCCTGCCTCTCTGCCTACTTGTGATTTGTCTGTCAAATAAATAAATAAAATCTTTAAAAAAAAAAAAAAGAGAGAGAGAGAGAGAGTTACTTCAGGTCTACGCCCTGACCTGAGCAGCCAGTTCAGACCTCAATTTTGCAAATCAGAGAATTATTCACATGGGAATTTCCACAGCTCTTAAGACTGGAAGGAAGGCTCCCAACTCGGGAAGAAGAGAGAGTTGTCACTGAAACAGCCCCTAAGAGCTTAGGGAAATCAAGATGCTAATCTTCTTATTCTATTGATGTCTGGAGGATTGCTCACACCAGGGAAAAACCCACAGTAAGTCAGTTTCTGAGGCATGCCTGGTGATGTCCTGGACAGAGGAGAGGGGCCCAAATGACAGACTCATTCTAGCATCTGCCGTGCTTTGCTACTCACCCCTGGATGGCAGAGACCCTGTAGCGGATGAGGACAAAAAGTCCACAAACAGAGGAAGGGTTGCCTTGTGCCCACTCAGGATGGAAACCCACTAGAAGAGAGCATTCTGGAGTATTAACCAAGGATCCTCTTCTGGAGACAGGGATCCGACCCTACCTCTGCCACTTGCCAGATTAATAAATTGTATCAATGTTCTTAACTTCTCTAAATCTCCTCATATGTAAAATGGAAATAGTACTTCCCTTTCTCATAAGACTGTAATGAGAAATAAGATCAACTATCATAAAGTCTAGTGCTAAAAAGGAAAATTATCAACAAATATAGTGGGCACAAGTCAAATTTCTTGTTTTAACTCATTAATGAGAGAGTCGGCATAGATTTTTTAAAGCTGATTTGAAGAGTACTCAAGGATCTACACGGTCAGGAAAGGAATGCCTAAGTAAGACTCTTAAGTGAGAGAAAAGACTCGACTTCCAACGGAGTGAAAACACCATGACAGTTAGAGGCTTAACATCTCTACAAGCCTATGAAATCCTATCACCACATCAAGCTGTACCCTTTCTGACTCGTTATTCAAATACACTGTGCCAACCGTGTTACAGTTCCCAAAAGAACAAGTCACGAGGACTTGCTTCTATTCTAGACAGACTCTAGCATGAGATCAAAGATGTAGGCAACCACCATTTTGTCTTCTTCTGGATTCAAGATGATTTTTTTTCCTTTCATACTGACACCCAGCAGCAACCCAGTAATTGTTGGTAGCTTTCCCTGCCTTTTTCGGCCCATTTGAATTTAGGCTGCATTCCCCAGTTCAGGGGACCAGAGAATAGGCTGGTAGGTAGACCCGGCCTGACTGGTTGTGGCTCCCAATTGGAGAGACACATGGGAAGCCTCTTCCATTGGAATAAGCTCTTTTGTTCAGATGCTATATACCAACTGCCCAACTTCACAACCTCTCCATGTACTTTAGGACTTTGGTCACAAACATGAGGAACTTGGCTGAAGTCAGGAGCCTGGGTGGAGAAGCAGATTTCAGACAGGTCATCCTTAGAGCCCCGGAAATCTCAGCGGCCAGATCTGCCTCAATTGGTGAGCCAAGTTCTCCCTGGTGGACTCAAACGTTGCATGAGGTTTCCTGCTGAACAACTTATTTCTCAACTTCCCACTGCCCTGTTCTTCTTTTGTAGCTGGGGAAACAGGAAACCAAATCACCTTGCTCTGGGCTATAAGCCCTGTCTGACTCTGCCCAGTGGTTCCTGTAATGGGCACAGTCTGTTTATAAGTTACAAGCTTCCAAGGGCTACCACCCTCATCCCCACCTCTTTCTCCAGGCTGCCAGTGCCAGCTGAGCCACCTCCCTTGCCCAACCATGAGTTTGGGTATCAGCTGTTGACAGCCCCATGTCAATGCGATTCTTCACAGCCAGTGGACCATCATTTATGGTGAAACTCCAGAGGGCTCCCTGGACCACCTTCTCCATGGTGTCTCCAAGTTGGCTCAAAGAAAGTAGACTCATTGGGTTTTCCAATAAAGACAAACAATTAATAATGGTAAATCTCTGCCCAAAGGACCCACTAATAGCAAACCCAAAAGTGCATTTTCAAGGAGAATCAAAGGCTCTGGGGTACACGACTCCACCCTGACTCAGACACACACACGCACACCACCACCATCACTGGATAACTGAGAGACAAACTGGATTGCTCTCCCCTTCGGAGCACTCTCCCATGACATTTCCTAAATGCTGAGTGAGGCCTGGGTATGGCTTGTTGAATCTGTAAACCTTTCTCATCCTCTTCTGCCTGGACCACATTTGGGCCAAGAGCTCACCTTTAAAGTACCCCTCAGAACCAGCATCATCTCCGTTTCTGCAATGCAGACAGTGTGTTCACGCTCCCAACAAATGGGAGCACTTGCTTTGGGGGCGGATAAAGCTGTCCTTCAGGAAAACTGAGAAGGCAGCAATCTGGTCCCTGAGCTTTCCACTTGCCCAGCCTAAGCCCATCTCCATGTTTGATAGTAGATTCCCCCATCCCATTCTAGGTCCCAATCTCTTAGTTTTTTAAATTATGACACACAATGTTCGTTAGTTTCACATGTACAACATGGAGATTCAACATGTTATGTTGTGCTCAGAAGTGTAGCTGCCTCAGGCTCCTGGGGGGCTCAAGTCATCTGCCTTCGGCTCAGGTCATGATCCTGGAGTCCCGGGATCAAGCCTGCATCGGGCTCCCTGCTAAGTAGAGAACCTGCTTCTCCCTCTGACCCTCACCCTGCTTATGTTTGCTCGTTCTCACACTCACTCGCTCTCCCAAATAAATAAATAAAATCTCTTAAAAGAAAAAAGAAGTGAGGCTACCAGTTGTCACCATATGCTGCTATTCCAGTACCATTACTATATCCCTCTGCTGTGACTTTTATTCTGATGACTTCTTCATTCCGTAACTAGAAGCCTGTTTCTCCCACTCCCCTTTACCCATTTTGTCCACCCCCCAACCCTGTTCCTCTCTAGCAGCCATCAGTTTGCTCTTGGTATTTATGGGTCTATTTCTGCTTTTTGTTTGTTTGTTCATTTGTTTTGTTTTTAGATGAAATCGGATGGTATTCGTCTATGTCTGACTTATGTCACTCAGCATAACACCCGTTGTTGCAAATGTCAAGATCACATTGATTTCATGGCTGAGTGGTCTTCCGTTTTATACATAGACCATGTCTTCTTTACCTGTTCATCTATCAGTGGACCCTTGGGCTGCTCCCATTTCTTGGCCACTATAAATAATGGTGTAGTAAACACAGGGGTGCATGTATCTTTCTGAATTAGTGTTTCAATTGTCTTTGGATAACTACTCAGTAGTGGAATTACTGGATCGTAAGGTATTTTTATTTTTTATTTTAGAGGAACCTCCACATTGTTTTCCACAGTGGCTGCACCAGTTTGCAGTCCCACCAACAACAGTAAACAAGGGCTCCTTAGGCCCCAATCTTAATTATTTGCTGGCTGCCAAAAAATTTCTCCAATATGTTAGCTGATAATAAAACTGACTAGTAACTAAAGCTTTGGTTGATGGATAAGGGTTTAAGCCATTATCTTTTCCTACTTGATTGCTCTGTTATGTGGTTCAAGTCTACTACAAACAAAAAGCCCAATGATCTACAGTGAGTAATCCTGACCACTGGAAGCCAGTCAATCTGAGTGGCATCTTGTTGGGGGAGGGGGTACTTGTTCCCCCTGAAATCTTGGGGGAATTGGCCACCTCCTCTTCTCCCCTTGGGCACAGAGTACTTCTGACTTCTCCAAAGAACCCCTTCCTCACAGCTGATCTCAGGCTTCTGGGGTCAGAGGCACACAATCACCCCAGGGAGGGCTCAAGCGTCCCTGCCATGTTTATGCAACAATTCAGTGCCTCCCGCATGCACAGGGACCCGCTTTCAGCTCCAGCTCCGTTTCAGAGATGCACAATAGACCAAGCTAAGAACTCTGGTTTACAGATTCTGGTGACAGCTCCCAAGCCCCATCTCCATCACTAGCACCTCTACCCCATCACCTAAGTGGGCATAACAGAAAATTTCCCAAGGCATAGCCTGGAAACTCAGCTTGGGGGTGGATACTGGTGAGAGGTGCTCCTTTCATCGCTGGCCTTCCCACTCTACCAGAGTGAAGATCAGGGGGTGATCATGGATAAGCAGAGGGTTCACCACCCAGGGTAGCATTTCAGTGCCCTCTTCTGTGACTTGAGTGACCCATTTGCCTATGCCTTTCTTATTTCATCACATTGGGTGGTTGAATCCAGAACGAGACGGAAAGCTTCCAAAATCTCAGGAGAAATTACAAGTGTGGGACCTGGGGGGCTGTTAGGATTACTTAAGGCTGGGCTCTGGACACCCACCTATGGCCTCACCACACACAGAATCCATCTCTCTCCCTCACACTTGCACGTCTACTTAGTTATCTCCCTAACTTCCCGAGAGTCACATATAAGACATTTTGCTCTAAACTAAACTTTAGTGCCCAGTGTGAGGGGTACCTAAGTGACTCAGTCAGTCAAGCATCTGTTTGCATCTTGGTTTTGGCTCGGGTCATGATCTCCAAATCATGACATCAAGCCCCACGTAGGGCTCCACACTTGGCACCTGGAATGTGCTTAAGACTCTCCTCCTATCCCTCCGCCCATCCCACTGTGTGCTTTCTCTCTCTCTCTAAAATAAAAAAATAAAATCTTTAAAAAAAAAAAAAAGGAAGAAAGCAATGTGAGTTTTCCCTACACCACTCTGTTCCCTTATCTCTCATTTGGGAACAAGAGGGAAAATCATTGACTACAGTGTCCTGGGTGTTTTCAAACCCCTAAGTCCTAGAACCGAGCCTCCATGTGATGGGACTGGAAGAGAAGGGACTAGTTTGAGGAGAAGGTGGGGAGGAAACCAGATGAGTTTGCCAGCTGGAGCAAGGACAATGGAGGTTTTCCTTTCTCAGGGCTTTCCTCCCTCCACCCCCTGGAAACAACATTGGCGAGATAAAGGCAAGATAGCAAACAAGGCCTGAGGTATCAACAACGACTTTATTATTTGGCAGGGACAGCCCCAGGGCCCAGGGCTCTGCTACTCCTGGTGAATGTCTTCGTGGCTGGCCACGCCCACCTTTATCACGAGTATGAGGTACTCCTCGAAGTTAATTGCGCCATCACTATTGATATCCAACTCTTTGAACCAGGTATCTGCATCCTTTTTCTGTCAAGATGAAGGAGAAAGTAGCCGAGTGTGAAGACCTCAGAAGAGCCTAGGCGGGGCTGTCTACACAGGGTGGCCCTGGGGACCAGGGGCCTGGGACTTGTCAGCCAGAGAACCCCACCCACACCCAGCCCCTCCTCACCTTCAGGTACCGAGGGCATTCTGTCTCTAACAATTTCTTCAAGTCATCCCTGTAGAGGGCATGGTAGTTCCCCTTCTCCAGGGAGTACTTGTGGTAAACGTCAATGAGGCAGTTCATGGCACTCTCCAGTTCTGTCAGCATGGTGCCTAAGAGTCTGACCCACCTGAAACAGGGAGCACATTGGGAATCCCAAGATGGGGACAGTGCCTCTGCCCCCAGCAGAGTGAAGACTGAAGGGAGACTCAGTACCCCATGTAAGGGCCTTGTCCTGGCCTGCACCATTCAAATAACTAAACCCAGTGGGTGGCTGTGGCTGTGATGGGAAGGGGTGTGGGAGGGGGAGGGTACACACACACACACACACACACACACACAGTGCCTGCCTTCTCTCCCTGCGTCCTCAACCAACCAACAGTGCCAGAGGACCCGGCTCTGTCTTTATCCCTGTCTCACTGACATCCTCCAGGAGCTCTGGGTCTTGCTCCAGACCTCCCTGAGCTTTCTCTCCCCTTCTCTGCTCCACGTCTGGCCCTCCCCATGGGGGCCCAGCCCCAAAGCATGGGGCAGACTGAAGCAGTCTTACTTACCAGGTCTCCCTGAAACTGAGTTGGCAGAAGATGTGCAGGGCTCAGTGTCCGCTCCCTTTTATAGCAGGCCGGGCTTTGGCCCACTGCCAGGACTCTGGGCCATGCCGAGAGAGCCCCTCCCTTCCCAAGTTGCCACAGCCTCTGGTTTCCCAACCAGGTGAATGGGGAAATCACTGCACAGAGCGAAAATTTCTGATGGGACGTGGGGGAGCAGGAAAAGCGGAAAGAGGAAGGCATCTGCCAGGCAGTAGTGCCCAGCAGGAGAAACCAGGAAGAGGCCACAGGGAAGACTGCTTTGGAGAGCCATTGGCATCATCTGGCTTGGCCAGCCAGGATGCCCACTCTTGAGCCCTCCTTACTGTTGCTGCTACTGACCCCGTGTACCGAAGGCTGTCTGTCATATCTGAAATGGAGCGGGAGCAGAAAGCATCATTTTGAGCATTTGCGTAAATAAGCACTTTTCTGCACAGCTTTCGTCAGATTCCTGGAAGGGTCCAAAGACCCCTAAAAGGTTAAGAAGACTTGTACTAGCTGCTGGATTTTAGTAGAGAAAGCTGGCCTGTTTCTACAATTGCTTTTGTTTGTGTGGTTGGACTCCATGGGATGTGTGCTGGTCTATCAGGCTCTCCTGCCACCCACACCCCTTCCCAGCTCTCTTGCTCTGGAAGCTGGGGGTGTATGGTACCCCGGGACACGGAGGCTGGGTTGAGGTCCCTGTGCATGCAGGAGGCACTGAGTTGCTGCATAAACATAGCAGGGACCCTTGAGCCCTCCCTGGGGTGATTGTGTGCCTCTGACCCCAGAAGCCTGGGCTGAAGAGGAACTCAAGTCTGTGGGGATCAGCTGGGGTGAAGGGGTTCTTTAGAGAAATCTGTTCCCAAGGGAAGAGGAGGTGGCCAATTCCCCCAGGATTTCAGGAGGAACAAGTCCCCCAACAAGATGCCACTCAGATTGACTGGCTTCCAGTGCTCAAGTCTGTGGTGCATCTCTCTTCATTACAAAGCACAGAGAGCTTCAGAACATGCCTATCAGGAAGGCAGTGCACAGAACCCACCCAGTCTGCAGCCAGGGAGGCTGACGCCCAGGAAGGTGAAGCAGTTCACCCAGAGCTTCCCAGTGCACATGTGTCAGGGCACCAAGCATCATGAGCCAGAACATGACCCAACAAGAACATGACTCTGCCGAGAAAGCTCTCCTCTCTTCCTTCCGGCATTCAGCAGATAATTAACCTGTGCCTCTCCAGGACGTAGGCCATCATCGCCTCCTGGAGGAAGTAGATGGGATTAGCTTCCCTCTCCTCCATGTTTCCACAGCCCTTCAGGCTTCATTGTATCATTAACTTTAGAGCTGTGTGACTTTGGGTCAATCACCCTCTCTGTGCCTTAGTTACCACAATCATTACAAAGAGATTAAAAATAGAGTCTACCTGCAACCTACAGAATGGGAGAAGATATTTGTAAATCATACATCTGATAATGGGTTAGTATCCAGAACATATAAAGAACACCTACGACTCAACCACAAAATTACCCCAATTAAAAAATGGGCTGGGGGGACGCCTGGGTGGCTCAGTTGGTTGGACGACTGCCTTCGGCTCAGGTCATGATCCCGGAGTCCCGGGATCGAGTCCCGCATCGGGCTCCCAGCTCCATGGGGAGTCCGCTTCTCCTTCTGACCTTCTCCTCGCTCATGCTCTCTCACTGCCTCGCTCTCAAATAAATAAATAAAATCTTTAAAAAAAAAAAAAAATGGGCTGGGACGCCTGGGTGGCTCAGTTGGTTAAGCAGCTGCCTTTGGCTCAGGTCATGATCCCGGGGTCCTGGGATCGAGTCCCACATCGGGCTCCTTGCTTGGCGGGGAGCCTGCTTCTCCCTCTGCCTCTGCCTGCCATTCTGTCTGCCTGTGCTCGCTCTCTCTCTCTCTCTGACAAATAAATAAATAAAATCTTTAAAAAAAAAATGGGCAAAGGACTTGAATAGACATTTCTCCAAAGAGGACCTGCAAATAAGTACATGAAAAGATGCTCCACATCTCTAATCATTAAGGAAATGCAATCAAAACCACAATGAGATATCACCTCAGACTCATGTGATTGCCTGCTATTGACAACAACAGAATGACAAGTGCTGGGGGGGTTGCAGAAATTGGGGCCCTTGTACACTGTTGGTGGGAATGTAAAATGGTTCCACTGCTGTGGAAAACAGTGTGGCGGTTCCTCAAAAAGTTCGAAACAGAATTACTATATGACCCAGTCATTCCCCTTCTGGGTCTACATCCATAATAATTGACAGCAGGGCCTCAAAGAGATATTCATACATCCGTGTTCACAGCAGCATTATTCACAGAAGCTGAAATGGAGAAACCAACCAAGTGTCCATCCAAGGATGAAGGAATAAACGAAATGCGGCATATTCACATAATGGAATATTATTGGCCTCAAAGAGGAAGGAAGCTCGGACACTTGATACAACACGGATGAACCTTGAGGCCATCACGCTACATGAAATAGACCCGTCACAAAAAGACAAGTATGCTTTAATGCCACTTACATGACATCCCTAGGGCAGCAAATTCATAGAGACAGAGAGTAGAATGGTGGGTGTTAGGGCCTGAAGGAGGGATAATGGAGACTTAGTGCCTCTAGGGTTTCAGTTGCAAGATGAAAGCGCTCTGGAGATTGGTTGCACAACAACGTGAACGTACTTAACACAACTGAACACTTAGGTGGTAAATCTTATATTATACATATTGTGCCACAATTAAACATTTAAAACTTCTTGGGAAGCCTGAGTGGCTCAGTGGGTTAAGCTGCTGCCTTCGGCTCAGGTCATGATCCTAGGGTCCTGGGATGGAGTCCCGCATCAGGCTCCTTGCTCAGTGGGGAGCCTGCTTCTCTCTCTGCCTCTGTCAGCCACTCTGCCTGCTTGTGCACTCTCTCTCTCTCTCTCTGACAAAAAAAAACAAATAATACTTTAAAAAATTTTTTTTTAATTTTTTAAATGCTTCCTCCTGAAAAATAAATGGAATCTCCTTATATGTTATTGTAAGGATTAACAATAGATGAAAAATATTGATGATGGAGTGCCTGGGTGGCTCAGTGGGTTAAAGCCTCTGCCTTCAGCTCAGGTCATGATCCCAGGGTCCTGGGATCCAGCCCCACATCGGGCTCTCTGCTCAGCAGGGAGTCTGCTTCCCTCCCCACCCCACAAAGCCTGCCTCTCTGCCTACTTGTAATCTCTGTCTGTCAAATAAACAAATAAAATCTTTAAAAAAATAAATTAATGATTTGTGAACTTTTCTTATTATGTATTATGCTTCGATAAAAAGTGTCCCCAAAGAATGTGTGAAGTACTTGGGGCAGTGCAGTGCCAGTGAGCGCTGGGTGGGCATGTCCTCTGGCAACTGTCCAGCCGGACTGTGAGCCCTCAAGGACCCAGACCAGACCTCCCATCTCTGTCTCCCCAGGACCCAGCACAGTGCCTGGCAAACACAGTAACAGCGGCAACCATCAATAATAAGAACAAGTGGGGCGCCTGGGTGGCTCAGTGGGTTAAGCCGCTGCCTTCGGCTCAGGTCATGATCTCAGGGTCCTGGGATCGAGCCCCACACCGGGCTCTCTTCTCAGCAGGGAGCCTGCTTCTCCCTCTCTCTCTGCCTGCCTCTCTGCCTGCTTGTGATCTCTCTCTGTCAAATAAATGAATAAAATCTTTAAAAAAAAAATAAGAAGAAGAACAAGTAATAGCAAAATAACACTGGCTGGGCTTCCACCACGTGCCAGGAACTGCTGTAAGTGCTGTCCCTACGTCAGCCCATTTAATACGCTCTGTAAACTATGAGGTAGGTACTATCATAATCCCCATTTTACAGATGAGGAACTGAGGCCCACAGAGAGACACAACAAAGTGGCTTTTCTGAGGCTCTCCTTAGGATTAGTTCATGAGCCTGGGTTGGGGCTCATGCTGACCTGTCTTGTGGGGGTGAGGATGAGGTTGATGTAGATGATGTCATCCCAGACCCCTGACCCTTCAAGAGATGCCTCCCTTGGGACACGCGGCTCAGTCAGTGAAGCATCTGCTTTCAGCTCAGGTCATGATCCCAGGATCTTGAGATCGAGCCCCGCAACCCGCCCACTGCTCAGCAGGGAGCCTGCTTCTCCCTCTCCCTCTGCTGCTCCCCCTGCTTGTGCTCTCTCTCCCTCTCTGACAAATCTTTTTTATAAAGAGAGAAATATCTCCCTAGAAGTTAGTCCCCTGAGAAGAGTCCCAGTGGAGACAGTTTTCTTTACCCAGAAATTAAGAACACAAGACCCCAGGTCCAGTGGCAGAGACCCAAGGCAGACAGAAGCCATGACCTCCTCCCAGCATCATGTGCTTATCAGTAGAACTTGCTGACCAGCAAGACCCTGCAAGTTGCCCCGGAGATGCTCCCCCTGGACCACCGGGTAGAGCAGGGGGCCAGCTGAGTGACCTTGCAGAAGACGGCATCCAGAATTGGGTAAGTGCTTCAGGGGAAAAGGCAGAGCCTGTAATCAGACTGACGGACATGGGGCAACCCAGGGGGAACAGAACCTGTTCCTACCTACAGGAAAGAGTTCAGTCCTGGGTATGTGTCCCAATAGCCCAACCAACCCTGTGCCCAAGGCTGAGGAAATGAGGACACAGGGTTAGAGCCGGTGTAGAAACCCCTGCCCCCACCCCGGGAAAGGGCAGGAGTTCTAGGCTGAGCCACCCCTTTGCAAGCAGAGGTCTGCGGAAGCCAGCAGTCGGGTGAGACAGGCCAGAAGGCTCTTCCCCTGGGCCTGGGGCAAGTGGGCAGCCTGGCTCACCCGGCCATCTGCGCCTCTGTTCGTGACTCAGAAGCCCATGGGAGGCAGCACAGGGCCCAACCCCCAGGTACAGCAGGACACGCACCTCCGAGGGGCAGTGCAGACCCCAGGGAGCGTGCAGGAAGGTCGGGAGGGGGACAGCTGGGGCCCAGCCGAGTCCTGAGCGTCGGCACTGGCAGACAGCAAGTGTGCAAAGGATATCAGTGGCAGGCCCGGCCCAGGAGCCGTGAGGCAACACGGTGCTTCAGAGCTTGACTGGCCAGAAACAAAGGCCCCGGTTCAGCCCACAGAGCACTGCCCTGCTGTGGCACACAGACCCAGCTCGGGGAGGGAACCCAACCACGTCCTGTAAATGACACCTGCCCCCCGTATCCGGCACAGGGGCAATGGTGACTGCCCATTATTCTTGGAAAACTCCTCATTGCTGTCACAGTACTCTGAGCACAGGGATTCTCAGACCACCCTCTGAGAAGAAATCTGCCCAGGGCCTAAAGGCAGAGCAGACTGACCCAGAGAGATTTTGCATCAGATCCCTGGATGCCCAGAGAGAGAGAGAAAAATAAACAGAAAGATGGGCAGGGGCAGGTCGCTGCTGGGAGGGGTCAGAGACCATAGGAGGACTTGGATGGTGAGTCACAATAGCCCCGAGTGGAATAATGCCCACATCAGCCTTAATTAGTAAAACCCAGACCCAACCCTTCTCTCCTCCAGGAAGACTTCCCTGATTGACAGTAGCCTAGGTTCCACTCATGTCTCTTCACAATACAGGCTGGCGTGTTGCCCTTTGCCCTAGTCCCTGTCTCTGACTCAGCACGTTCGAAACCCACCTCACAATCTTTGCTCTCAGAGCATCTCCAATGCCACCCAGCCCATGCCAATTACCCACATCATCCTCCGGTCCTGCCTGGCACCTTCGCAGGCCCACGCCACTCCTCCTCTGCACCCATCCTACCCTGATTCCTTGGGACTCCTCCAGAGCAAGGAGACCCTCCCAGAGAGTCTTTGTACAGTGTGCCTTTGCCCTCCTGGCTCCTGTCCCATTGTGTATGAGAGGTCAGAACAGTACCAGTGAGGCCTGTCAGAGAGCCAGTTCCCCAAGAGAAGAGAGTCCCCCCCACTCAGACTGGAGCTCTGGAGGCTGGGGGCTGTCTCCCCCCTCAGACAGGGGCTGGAGGCGATGACCCCCAAGGGAGCAGCCAACCTCCTCTCTGGACCCACAGCAGATACCCAGAACTATGACCAAGGAATTCCCAGCATGTTTGTGGGATGGCTTTATTCTCTTCCCTCACAGCTACGCATTGCACACACGTGTGCACAGGGGCGTGCCCGTTCAGGCACATGCCAACAAGCGAGGCAGAGCTCTGCAGTGGCTCCGGCTCCAACTCCTGGGCAGCACCTGCGGGCTGGGCGGGCGGGCGCATCTCTATCAGTGCGGGCTGGGCAGACGGGTGCGTCTCTATCAGTGCAGGCTGGGCAGGCGCGTCTCTATCTAGTGCAGACTGGGCAGGCGCGTCTCTATCTAGTGCGGGCTGGGCAGGTCCACGCATCTCTATCTAGTGCAGGCTGTGCTGGGCGCAGTAGCAGGTGCACAGCCGCCGGTGGTACAGCAGGTGGTAGTCCGTCAGCAGCCGGCCCAGGACAAACAGGAACTCGTCGAAGCAGATCTGCTTGTCCTTGTTCTTGTCTGCTGCCCGGAACAACTCTGAGAGGTAGTAGGGCTCCTTCCGGCCCTGGGGAGGGGCACGGAGGTCAATGCCTGCCTGGCACTCCCCCCCCACCTGCCCCACAGCCATTGGCCGTGCCTCCACCATCCTGCAGGGCCCAGCCGCCCCCCACCCCACCCCACCCCCCTCAGGTGGAGGCCAGGACAGCACATGGGGCAGCATCAGACTCCGAGGAGGAGAGGGGACAGGGGCCTCTGCAGGCTCCACGCGGGGCTGTGTGGGCGGACCGTGGGGCCTGGGTACCACTGGCCCGCTGCTTGGCCATTGCTGCGCTGTGCTGAGTGGCCTCGGGCCTCCTGACGCCCCCCGACCACCAGTGGTGGCTGCTTAAGCCTGTCTTCCCAGCTCCCCTGGGAGCTGCCCAGCAGCGATAGCCTGGCCCAGGGGCTTCATGATGGAAGGCAGTGCCCCCTCCTGCACGCAGGGAGCTCCCCAGGGCACGGCCCACCTGCCCCTCGTGTCTGCATCTCCAGGACTATTGCAGGGAAACCAAGGAGGGGGATCAGATGTCTGCATGCTGTGGCATCTGCCCAGGAATTGTTTATGACACGGAGCCTGTGTCGCCTGTGGAAAGTGCTGCATGAGGGAAAGACGAAGTCCTGGATCCTGGGGCTGGCCAGCACGTCCCAGAGCGGGCGGGCTGGAGGGCTGCGGGTCGGGAATGCTAGAGGGGAGAAGCCAAAGCACTTGAGATGGAAGGGACAGCTGGAAGGAAGGCGGGGTTCAGCAGGCAGCCCAGAGAGGAGAAGGAGCCCCAGGCAGGGCCTCAGAGCTGGTTCCGGCAGGATTTGGCCGGTGGGTGTGGGGACCCAGAGTGGAGTCCTCTGGAAGCCTCTGGGGAAGGGAGTTGTTGCTGGGGGGGCCTGGAGGGGAGCCCTACCCCGCGGGCAGGTTTGCACGTCTATTTCCCCCCCACCGCCCACCACCATCTAACTCAGCTAATCTTATCTCCTCTGCTCAACTGGTTGAACTGAGCCCTGGAGCTTCCGGCATGGGAGGCCTCTCGCTGGCTCCCCTCCGCTCAGCGCCCCCACCACCTCAGGCTCAGGCTGCTGTCTGTCTGCCCCGTGCCCTGTGCTTCTGACTGTCCCTGAAGGCCCTGTTCCCTGGGCGGGGCTGTGAGCCCCAGGTGAGAGGGTCTGGCCGTCCTTGCCCAGCCCCACAGTATAGGTAGTTGGCCCTGGAAAGAAAGTTACCCTAGTCCCCTTTGTGACCCTCACAACAACACTCCAATAAACCCAGGGCAAGACCCTCCTCTGATGTTTCCCAGAGGTAGGTAAGGGAACATGCCAAGGAGGCAGTGCTCCTTCTGGAAGGTGGTGGCCTCCAGTCAGGGCCCGGACCTGAAGTCCTCTGGAGATGACGGTCCAGAGACCTCTGAGGCACAACACCGAGGGCAGAGGGCAGCAACCCGGACATTCCTGCCAGCCTTGCAGCCCCCAAGACGCCTGATAATACAAGGCCTGATCGGGGAGAAGACGCGCAGGCCTGACAAGGTTTCCGAGTTCCCGCGCTGATCCAAGAGCCTCTGCTGGCCCTTCGGACAGCAGCTGGAAGGAAACACTACATTTCCTCCCCTACCTGGCTTCTGCCCAAACTGTCCTCACCCCGGCACGGTGACGGGGAGGTTTGTACTAGTCCCAGGAGAGGGGGCCTGGGGCTAAAAGGGCAGGTTTGGGGCAGGATCGCTGACTGAATGGGGCTGAGGCCAGACGGGAGACTTCGGACCTATTCCCTCAGGAAACTGGATGAGCCCAGATAAGCAGGTTGGAGTCGGGACTAAGTCTCACGGACCGACCGCGTCTGGGCTGCTGTGGGGCCGGCAGGGAGTTTCAGGAGAGGGAGGAGGAGAAATAAAGCTGGGCCACATCCACCCTCCCTCTGCCAGGGACCCTGCCCTCCCAACTCCCTCACCTCTCCTCACCTAAGGAGGAATTCTCCTGGGAGATGGCTCCCCATACCTCTATCCTCACCACTGGCTTCCACCCCACCACCCACCCTACACTTCACGCCCACCTGACCCCAGACCCCACCCACCAGGCTCTCCATGAAGTGGGGTACATTGTCCATAAGCAGAGCCTTCAGCTCCTCCAAGGTCAGGGTCTCCACATCCCCCTCCCGGGCGGCGTACTGATGGTAGCAGGCGATGATCTGGAAGAGGGATTCCTCCATGGGCGTGTGCATCACGGCGGCTGGGCCCTGGCGGGGACGGGAAGTGGCTCTGGAGATGAGATGTATCCCTGGAGCGCTGGGGACAGTGGAGCTGAGGGGAGAGCAGCACCTTGGTCAGGCCAGCCCAGGGAAGATGGGTGCTTCCTCTCGCTCTGCCCGCCTTCCCGCACCGTGTCCCAGGTGCCCTCCCTGCACTCCCTCCGCCCCCCTGCAAACCCTTCAAGCTCGCAGGACAGGGCCCTGTCCCTCCCCGGAGACCTCGGGCTGTGCTCTCGGCCCCTAGACCCTACTCTCAACGTAACAGTCACCAGAAATCAAGAAGGAGAAGAATGCGGACTCCGTGGTGCAAGACACAAATGGAGTCCCCCATAGTGACCTCAGGAGGTGTGACCCATCCGGAGCCAGATTCAAACCCGCTAGAGGACCACAATTACCCTCTGGGACACCCATGCTGGGAACGCGTTCCCAAAACAGGCCAGCCGCCCATCCCTGCTTCCTGGGACCGGCCCCCCACCTCCACCGCTCTCAGAAGTGCTGACCTGGGCTGAGGGGACAGGGCTGCTCCGAATCCAGTGCCGGCCTGTGATCCGTCCTAGCGATGCCGCGGTGCTCAGCAGGAGCCGCTGCGGCAAGCGGGGGCCCAGCCAGCAGGTGCTACCTCCTGCCCATCCCGGCCGCCCGCGTCCTGACCCTTCCGGTTCTCCAGCAGCTCCCCGAGCCCTGACCGCATTCCTGAGATGACGTCACAAGACACTTGCTTCCTGCGATTAACTCGACCAGTTTCAGGGACCCGCCTTCCCTCCGAGCCGGACCTGAGGCGTCTCCGAACCGCGGGGCGCCTCGCTGGCCACGTCCGCCTCCGAGCGGCTCCCCCGGGCTCCGGGGCGTGGGCGGGGCCGGACACACGCAGCCGGTCCTCCCGCGCCTTCCCTCAGCGGCCGCGCCCGGCCTCCGGTCCCCACGCGCGCCCGTCCGTCCCGCAGCCACTTCCGGAGCCCCGCAGTGCGCGGGGGCCTCGTCCGGGGCCAGCTCGCGGGCTGAGGGTCCGCGGAGCGGACGGCGTCGCCCACGGCATGATGCCCCGCGAGCGCCACCAGCCCGGAGGCGGGACCGGGGCGCCCGGGAAGGAACCGCTCCAGCCCGGAGAGGAGCCGACGAAGATCTCCTCAGGGAGACGCGTCTGAGCCGGACTCGACAGAAGGGCTCCCGGCAGGGGGAGGCGCGGCGGAGGCCGCAGACCTGTGTGCCGCCCGGGCCGCCCGTCACCCCTGCACAGCAGGAAGCTCGGAGACGGTGTTCCGCGGCCGCTGCGGCGGCGGGAGGTGGGGGAGAAGGGGCGGGACCGGCTTCGCGGCGCGAAAACCGCCGCCCGCGGGGCGGAAGCGACCCCACCGCAGCGCGCCCTGCTCCGGGCGCTGCCGCCCAGACGTCTCCCGGAAGGGGGCGCCAGAGGACAGGGGACGGCGCGCGGGCGGCCTGAGGGAGGGAGGTCGGCGGGAGAGACTTGGTCCTCTCCAGCCGGCAGGGAGCGCCCTCCTCCGCCCGACGCCGCGACTGCGCCGGCCGCGCGCGTTTCCGCTCCCAGAGTGGAGCCTCGTTTCCAAAACGTGAAACAACTGGGCAGGGCCAACCTGCAGTCACAGATTCTACCTATTTACTGGGCGGAGGGACAGAGAGGACAAGCAGGCGGCAGAGAGGGAGGCCAGGCTCTCGACTGAGCGGGGAGCCCGATGCGGGGCTCGATCGCAGGACCCCGGCATCGTGACCTGAGCCGAGCCGAAGGCAGAGGCTTCGCCACCCAGGCGCCCCAGTCGCAGATATTTTCATCGAACACCTTTAATTTAGCCGTAGCTGTCCTGGGAATTTATCCCAAGAAAGCAATTAAACAGGCATTAAAAAGCAATACGGGGCGCCTGGGGGTGCTCAGCTGGTTGCACCACCGCCTTCGGCTCAGGGCGTGATCCTGGAGTCCCGCAATCCAGTCCGGCATCAGGCTCCCTGCTCTGCGGGAGTTTGCTTCTCCCTCTGACCTTCTCCCCTCTCATCTCGCTCTCGCTCTCTCAAATAAATAAATGAAATCCTTTAAAAAAAAAAAAAAAAAGCAATACGTAGTAAAATGTTCACCACTGCATTTTCTGTAGCCAAGAAACAAAATAAAAACAAAAACCTTGAAACCATCTAAGTAACAGATTCGGCATACCAAGACCTCCTCAGACCATCACGGGGTAGTGATCTGGCTGTCACTCAGAAGGAACTCCACTTCTAACCCATAGGTTGTTTGGGGGGAGGAGGTCATACTGCTCCCCGCTTCACCCTGAAGTTTCCTCAACCAGGACAAAACGAGACCCTACACCACCCCAATGCACAGTGATGACCTCCTTCCTCAACTCTGCTATAACCACCCTTTTCACCTAATGCTAGACTGTGGGCGTCTTCCCACCCACCTAATCAAGCTTGGCCTGATTTCTAAGGAATGCCTAGTGATTACTTGTTTGCATGTATCAAAATATGTTTGATTAATCTATTATCCATAGACATTTAAATTAGTTTAAATTTATACATTTCAACCAACTCTTCCTTAATATTGATATTTCTTAAGAATTTTGCCATGTGTGTTAGGTGCTGGAGAGAAGGGGGATAGAAATGGACTTACATCCCCTTCCCCAGCCAGAGCTGCCCCTGGTGTGCCCTGAACCCCAACCCCGGAACAGAGCTGCCATCCACCTCCCAAATGGAAACCCCTGAATGCCCAGCTCCATAGCTGCCCCCCCTACAGTGCCCCTGCTGTCTACTACTGCCATATGCAGACCCATGAGAGACCCTCTTAGCCATGACTTCCTTCTGCAGGGGGAAAGAACAGGGATATCCCAACAAATTTCCCCACCCTATTATAAAAGTCAATATGTGCCTTTACATATACATTAACCTGTATATGTCCATATATTTACCTTTACCTGTGAGACATGCTTTCCTGTGCTTGCACATTACTGTTTAGTGAGTTTTCATTTCAATTTTAAGAACTATCTTAAAGCATTTCTTGTAAGTCTAGTGATGAGCTCCCTGTTTTGTCTAGAAAGCAAAAGAGGAAAAACCAGGACCTATGGCTTCATGGGTGAGGGCTACCAAGCATTCAAAGAAGAATTAATGCCAATGCTTCTTAAACTCTTCCAAAAAAATAGAAGGAACACTTCCAAACTCATTTAATGAGACCAACATCACCAGATACCAAAACTAGGCACAGACACTACAAAGAGGGCAGGTGGGTGGCTCAGTTGGTTAAGCTACTGCCTTCAGCTCAGGTCATGATCGTGGTGTCAGATCAAGTCCCACATTGGGCTCCCTGCTCCATAGGGAGTCTGCTTCTCCCTCCGACCTCCCCTCTCATGCTCTCTCTCTCACTCTGTCTCTCTGTCTCTCAAATAAGTAGATAAAATCTTAAAAAAAAAAAAGACACTACAAAGAAAGAACTACAGGCCAACATCCTTGATGAGCATACATGCAAAAATGCTTAACAAAATCCTAGCAAAGTGAGCTCAGCAGCACATTAAAAGGTTCATGCTCCATGACTAAGTGCGGTTAACCCCAGCAATTCAAGGGTAGTTCAGCATTCAGCATATGTAAAGTGAAGTTATAGCACGTCAACATAATGAAAAAAAAAATACATAATGTCTGAGTAGATGCAGAAAAGGCAGTTGACAAAGTTTAACATCCTTTCACAATTAAAACTCAACAAAATAGGTACAGAAGGACCTTAACACCACATATGAAAAACTTACAGGTAACTTGATAATCAATGGTGGAAACAAACTAAACATTTCCTTCCAGGATCTAGCACAAGACAAAGACGTCTACTCTTGCCACTTCTTTTAAACATGATACTGAAAGTCCTGGTACAGAAATTAGACAAGAAAAAGAAATAAAGGCATCCATATAGAAGAAGAAATAAAATTATCTCTATTTGCAGATGACATGATCATACATAGAAAACTCTAAAAACTAAACAATAATAAACCTGTTATAAATTATAAACAAATTCAATAAGGTTGTGGGATACAAAGTAAACATACAAAATCAATGTATTTTACACAAACAACAAACTATCCAAAAAAGAAATATTTTTAAAAAGCAATCTCATTGGGATACCTGGGTGGCTCAGTTGGTTAAGCCACTGCCTTCGGCTCAGGTGATGATCCCAGAGTCCTGGGATCAAGTCCCGCATCTGGCTACTTGCTCAGCAGGGAGCCTGCTTCTCTCGCTGCCTCTGCCTGCCTCTCTGCCTGCTTGTGTGCACTCTCTCTCTGGCAAATAAATAAAAAAATCTTTTAAAAAAAAAAAGCAATCTCATTCACAATAACAAGAAAAAGAACAAAATGCATAGGAAATAACTTACTCAAAATGTTGAAAGAACTTCACATGAAAATATTGATGAAGAGAATTTAAAAGACATAGACAAATAGGGAAACATCCTATGTCCATAGATTGGAAGAATTAATATTGTTAAAGTGTTCATACTGCCCAGAGTTATCTACAGATTCAATGCAATCCTTATCAAAATCCCAACGACATTTCTTATGGAAATAGAAAACAGTCCTAAAATTCATATGGATCCACAAAAGACTCAGAATAACCTAAGCAATTGTGGGCAAAAAGAACAACGTTAGGGGTATCACACTTGCTGATTTCACAATTCATTACAAAACTACGGTAAACAACAATATGGTATTGGCATAAAAACAGAAATGAAGACCAATAGAACAAACTAGAGAACCCAGAAATAAGTCCACACGTAGGTCATGATCTTTGACAAGAATGCTGAAATGAGGAAAAGGTAGTCTCCTCAGTAAATGGTGTTGAGAAAACTGGATGCAGAAGAATGCAGAAGAACGAAGTTGGACCCTGATCTCACATCGTACACAAAAATCAACTCAAAATGGAGTAAAGACTTGAATATAAGACCTGAAACCATAAAATTACTAGGGAAGAACATAGGAAAGAGCTTCTTGACATTGGTCTGGGCAATAATTTTTTGGATGTGGAGACCAAAATCACAGCCAACAAAAGCAAAAATAGACAAATGGGATTATATTAAATTAGAAGCTCTGCACAGCAAAGGAAACAATCAACAGAGTGAAAAGGCAACCAACAGAATGGGAGAAAATATTTACAACCATATATTTGATATCCAAAATACATAAGGAAGTCATACAACTCAATAACAAAGCAAAAAAAAATTTTATGTTTTTTTTTATAATCCAACGTTGGTGGGAATGTAAATTGGTAAAGCATTACGGAAAATAGTATGGAGGTTCCTCAGAAAATTAAAAATAGAACCACCTGATGATCCCGCAATCCCACTTCTGGATATACACCCAAAAAAAATGAAATCAGGATCTCAAAGAAATAATCACTCCTATGTTCATTTCAACATTATTTAATAATAGCCAAGGTAATGGAAACAACCTAAATGTCCATTAAAGAATGAATAGAGAAAGAAAATGTGGCATATATATACAACAGAATGTCATTAGCCAAAAAGAAGGAAATCCTGCCGTTTTCAGCATGGGTGAACCTGAAGGACATTGTGCAAAGTGAAATAAGGCAGACGCAGAAAGAGAGATACTGCCTGATCTCACTGTACGGGGAATCTGAAGAAGTTGAACTCACAGAAATCATAGATAACTGGTTACCAGGGGCTGGTGGGAGGGGAAATGGGGAAATGTTGGTCAAGGAATACAAAGTTTCAGTTGTGCAAAATGAATAAATTCTGAAGATGTTATGTAAAACCAAGTGACCATAATTAA